AACTTACAGATTGGGAAAAAATATTTGGTAATGACATATCTGACAAGGGACTTATCTCTAGAATTTATAGAGAACTCTGTTGTTGTTGTTGTTGTTATGTGCCGTCGAGTCGGCCCCGACTCATAGAGACCCCTCCTTGGGTTTCCGAGGCAGTATCACTACGGAAGTAGGATTGCCCAACCTTCCTTCTGAGGACTCTAACACCTCAATAACAAAAATACAAACAATCCAATTAAAAAATGGTCAGAAGACATGAATAGACACTTCACCAAGGAGGATATTCATGTGGTCAACAAACATATGAAGAAATTCTTACGATCACTAGGTATTGTTGTTGTTATGTTCTGCCGGGTCCAACCGACTCATAGCGACCTGTCCTTGGATTTTCGAGACAGTATCACTATATGGAAGTAGATTGCCCCATCTTCCTTCTGAGGAGCAGCTGGTGGGTTTGAACCGCCAGCTTTCTGGTTAGCAGTCAAATGCCTTAGGCACTACACTACCAGAGGTCATTAGCCATTAGAGAGATGCAAATCAAAACAACAATGAGATACCATATTGCTCCAGCACTATTAGCAAAGTTCAACGAGACAGAAAATAAGAAATGCTGGCAAGGACATAGAGAGATTAGGACTGTCATACACTGCTGTTGGGACTATAAAATGGCACAACCATTTTGGAAAGCAGTATGGCGATTCCTTCAAAAACTGGAACTAGATATATCATTTGACCCAGCTATTCCATCACTAGGTATATATCCTAAAGTGAGAGCCAGGACAAGAACAGACATATGCATACCCATGTTCATCGCAGCACTATTTACAATAGCCAAAAGATGGAAACAACCTAGGTGTCCTTCAACTGAGGAATGGATAACCAAACTATGGTACATACACACAATGGAATATTATGCAACCCGAAAGAATAATGTAGAATCTGCGAAACACAGCATAATGTGGATGAACTTGGAGGACATTAGGCTGAGTGAAATAAGTCAATCACAAAAGGACAAATATTATATTAGTTCATTATTGTAAAAGTTAAGGAAACATTTATCTATGGAAGGAAATTTTCTTTGTTGGTTACCAGAGGTAGGAGGGGAGGGGAGGGAACACTGGTAGATGATAGAGATAAGTATTGATTTGGGTGAAGAGAAGGGCAATGTACCAAATGTGAGTGATCAATATAGTGACATTGAGGAAGAGAAAGACATAGAAAGGTACATGGGAGGTACAGACAACAAAGATGAAGCTTTTTGCACATACAGTACGGCATTGTCAGTGAAGGCAAACATGAGTATACAGGTTGCTAGATAGGTGTAAAGCCTGAACTATTATGTATTTCTATAAAGCGGGGAGTGTACCCAAGAACATGTTTAGGGTTGGCAGACAATGGTCTTATAAGTTTATGTGCATGACCTGAATTCCCAGGTGCATAGTAGGGCTGACAAGGGGCAAGGTTGTAGTCACTGCTTGGTCATAGCCAGCTACCCAGAGAGACTGAGTAGTTGAACCTGTGGGCTCGGGACCATAGTTGCAGGGGACATCAAGCTCAGTTGGTATAACATACTACACAAAACATTGTTCCACTTCCTACTTTGGCGAGCAGTGACTGGGATCTTAAAAGCTTGCAAGCTACCATCTAGATGCAACGATGGGTCTCTCTTCATCCAGAGCAGAAAAGAAAAATTGAGGAAAACCAAAAATTCATGGAAAAAATTAGTCCTAGTGACTGGTACACCATCCAATATGTAGCCTATACGACTATGAGACCAGAAGAACTAGATAGTGCCCTGCTACTACTGTCAACCACTTGGAAAGGGATCTATGTAGGAGATCCTGGATAGACAGAGAAAACAATGTGGAACAAAACTGAAAATCATTTGGAGAAAAAAAAAAAGGGGGACCAGGTTTGTTGGTCTGATAGAGCCTGGCGGAACCACTGAGACTATGGCCTCTAATTGCCCTTTAAGTCTGGAAATGAACCTACGCCTGTGGCTTCCAGCCAAACAATAGACAGCCATATGAGTTGAACATTTACCTGAGGTAGATACACTCCTTGGAGAGAACAATCATGGGAGAAGGAAGGGCTGCTTATGCACAGGGAGTCACCTCA